CCGCACGCACTCCGCGCGCCAGAATGTCGGCTGCACGTAGTGAGTGCCCGTTGGGCGCGAGTGACCTTTGGTTCGCGGCCTGGCGATCGTTGCATGCGGTGCGATAGCAGTGGCCACCGTGTCTGGGTTTGACAGACACCCCCCTGAAACCCGAACGCTGGGCATCAAAGGTCATCGGCGAAGGGCCACTCTTACCCTGAGATCCGACGTCGCGAAACAGCTGTAACACCATAAAACATCACGACCGCAGTCCTCGAGCCAATCCTTTTGTGCCATCTTTCGAGCCGTATCGATGTGTTGTGGTTCTGGAGCCCGAAGCCCAGCGAACACGCCCGCTTTGGAACGACAAACTGCACAGCCCGGATCTCAGAACACGTGCAGCCGAGAAGGGCATGTCCCCGTAGTAGACCCTGATGCTCCTCTTGAGCAGGAACCAACCACCCTGGCATTCCTATAGGCCTACCGCGAAGCATTATGAGAACAGTCGAATGTTCTCATAACTCCAGCTGTGTTCTCAGAGTGTGAGGCCGATGCATTACAACAGGACGGCCTCGGCTAGATATGTTCTAAGAACACTTCGTACAAACCACAATCGGTTCTTGAAACATTCTTTGATGGGCCTGGAAACAAGCCAAGACGCCTCGCCTGTAGGCAAGCCGCGACGCCAAGCCCATCCTCCTCCTCCTCCTCCTCCTCCTTCTCCTCGGTCGGTCGGTTGGTCATCGGGCAGAGAGGTCACGACGCCCATGCACAGAAATGCAAAGCGAGAGACGGGCAAAGCGATTGCGCAGCAGCAGCGGCATGCACGGGGCTCCTGCCTGCGCCAGAAGGCGCAGGCGCAGTGGCTGCCGAGGGGCAGCCTCGCACAGTACTGTGAGGGCTACTGCTTCAAGATGCGCGGCACAAAGATCGGAGCAGGGTAGGGGAACAAGCAGGGTAGGGGAACAATGGTTTGGAAAAGAAGAACCTTCAAAGGTAGGGTAGGGTAGGGGAGCAATGGTTTGGGTAGGGTAGGGTAGGGGAACAATGATAGGGTAGGGTAGGGTAGGGGTAAGGTAGGGGAACAATGGTTTGGACAATAACGGTAGGGTAGAGTAGGGGAACAATGGTTTGGAAAAGAAGAGCCTTCATTGGAAACAATGGTAGGGTAGGGGAGCACTGGCTTGGAGAAGAAGAGCCTTCCCCCCCGAGGGCCACGGGTTACTCACATCCTCCTCCTCCTCCTCCTCCTCCTCCTCCTCCTCGCCTGACCACGCCCTGCTCGGTGGTACGTCACGTCGCGTCGCGTCGGGCCCCCGTTCCTCGCGCCGCCGTCGCCTCGCCTGGCTCGGTGGTGCGTCGGGTCGCGTCGGGCCCCGGTCCCCTCGCCTCGCCTCGCACCCCCCCGGCTCGACGGCGCGCCGCGCCGCACATCTGGCCTCAGCCCCACCACCTCGCCTCGCCCCGCCCGGCTCGATGGTCCGTCGCGCCGCGTCGGGCAGCAGACCCCTCGCCTCGTATCGCCTGGCTCGCTGGTACCTCGCGTCGCCGCGGGCCTCGGAGCCCCTCCGCCTCGCCAGCCCGGCTCGCCTTGGCTTCGGGCCATGCCTCGGCTCTCTGGCGGCCGTTCGGGGCGATCCCGGCAACCTCGGAACGCTCTCGGCGAGGCGCAGCCGCTGGAAGGCACCCCGAGGCTGGAACGCCGCCGCGCACCCGCGAAAATGCCCACAGACCTCGAACCTCGAGGCCTTCCCTCTCCCTCCGCACCGTTGCCGCTCTCGACGCTTCGCCCCTGCTCGATCCTCGGCGCCGGCGCGCCCGCCGCGGCCGCGCACCTCACCTCGCCGCGCCGGGCGCCCAGGCCCACGGCGGCGGCGGCCGCCCCGACCAGCGCGGCCCTGCGCGCTCGCGGCCGGCCAGTGGGGGCGGCGGCGGCGGCTCTGCGCAACGCCGCCGCGGCCATCTCGTCGGGTTCAGACACGAGCGACCCTACGCTTGGAGCCGTCGGGAGGTCTGAGGTGGCCCAGCCGTGGTTCCAGCCGGCAGGAAGGACCGGCAGGTTCGAGGGCCTGGACTCGAGAGGGTCTCGTGGCTTTTGTTGCCTCCGGGGGCCGTTTTTGGGTCCAGGGACCGTCAACGCCGGCTCATGGACGAAAAACTGCGCCAGACGGAGCCCGCAACGGTGTCTTGGGACCGATCTTTCGCGGATTTGACCTCGTCCCCCCTCCTGACCGATTTTCTTGGTCTGGGTGCATGGCTTCCCCCGGGGCCGTAGGCGACCCGAGGAGGCGGAGGAGGAGGAGGAGGAGGACGAGGAGGAGGAGGAGCAGGAGGAGGTGGGGGAGGGGGAGGGGGAGCAGGGGATGGAGGAGGAGGAGGAGGAGGAGGAGGAGGAGGAGGAGGGAGGAGGAGGAGGAGGAGGAGGAGGAGGAGGAGGAGGAGGAGGAGGAGGAGGAGGAGGAGGGAGGAGGAGGAGGAGGAGGAGGAGGAGAGGAGGAGGAGGAGGAGGAGGAGGAGGAGGAGGAGGAGGAGGAGGAGGAGGAGGAGGAGGAGGAGGAGGAGGACAGGTCGCCTAAGCCCTTCGGAGAAACCCTTCAACCCCCGGCTGCCTCCAAGCTTCACGCAAGAGTGACACTAGGCAAGAGTGACCTTTGGGTGCGCGGCGTTCGATGGGCGCGGGGGGGCGAGCCCGAGCGCGCACGCCGTTGCTGTCGCATCGCGTGAGGTCGTCTGGGGAGCCCGCGCCAAAGGCCACTCCGGCGAACAGTCACTCCTGCCGATCTCGCCGCAGGCGACCGCGCGCAGCGGGGGTCTTCTCCTCCGCGTCGGGCCCCTCTGTGCCGGGCTTGAGCCCAAACGAGTGCCGGAAAGAAGCGGGTCTCACGCGAGATGACACTGCGACCTCGCGCGGTGACTTGCGCGGGCCGCCAGCGCGGCACGTTGCAACGAGGACAAGGGCGTCTGCGCGCGACCTTGAGGCCGACAACTTGCGCGCGAACGTCGGCACTATCGGCCTGTGCTCTTCCGTCGCTCACATGGCCACTGCAGGTTACTTCATAAGCGGCCCGCCCATCAGGGAGCCCCGCCCGACGGCCCGTTCCGGCACCCCCACGGCCACCGAACCCGCACCTTTAGGTCGGGCATGTCCTCCTACAGGCGGATGTTGGAGGAAAAACCGAAAGTAGTCAAACAAGACTAAACGTTAGTCAAACATCATGACAATCCGCCACCCGACTGTTTGTTGACTGTTTTGGAATATTCTTCCTGTGTGGGGACATGCCCGACTTAAGCGCACCCTCAGGCGATCCCCCCCCCATATACGCCCCGCGACGGACAGCCTCTTCCAAGGAGGAGGAGGAGGAGAAGGAGGAGGGAGAGGAGGAGGGGGAGGAGGACAAGCTGGGTGCGCTCGCGTCATACCTGAGGTCCTATCCTCCCTCCCATCCCTTACCACGGCGTATATCTCCTCTCTATTCGCACAATCGAATGTCGCAGCATGGCATAGCATGACATGGCATAGCATGATGTTGAAGATTAACGCGTAGCATGACATAGCATGGCGTGGCGACGCCCCACAGTGTGGGGGGGGCTTCTGCCGACCAAAACATCAACGAATCGACACCGAATGTGGAATCACTTCCGATGGTTTCTTCGGGAAGCCATTTTCTGAATGTTGGGGACGCTTTGGAAGAATGGAAAGCCATGCAGTGGCATGGCACTGGAAATAATGACGCCAGCGCTGCAGCAGGAGCACGATTCGGAACGAGCGGTAGCCCGAAAATTAAGCCAGCGCTTCAGCGAGAGCAGCATTCTGAACAAAAGCCCAAGCGCGGAAGCGCGAAAATGAGGACGCGTAGCCTGACATAGCATGGCGTGGCGACGCCCCAAAGTGGGGGGGCTTCTGCGGCCCCCAAAATCAACGAATCGACACCGAATGTGTAATCATTTCCGATGTTTTTTCCGGGAAGCCATTTACTAGATTTGGGGGCCAATTTAAATAGATTTGGAATATCAAACACCATGCAGTGGCATGGCGCTGGAAATAATGACGCCAGCGCTGCAGCGGGAGCACGATTCGGAACGAGCGGAAGCGCAGGATTGAGACCAGCGCTGCCGCGGGAGCACGATTCGGAACGAGCGGTAGCCCGAAAATGAAGCCAGCGCTTCAGCGAGAGCCGCATCTTGAAGGCAACCGAAGCGAAAACCCGTTTGTTTAAAACCAGTGTGCGGAGGGGGGCCGGCCATTTCCCTGACGCCACCAGGGGAGAGAGGAGAGTAGTACTCTTTTTTCCCCATATCCTAAGGATTGGGGTTCTTGTTATTACTCTGACGCCTCCCACTCCTCCTTCTCCTTCTTCCTCCCGCTCGCGCCTCCCTCCTCCCAATGATAATCACCAGCTAAGACAAGACAAGATAAGATACTACAAGATAAGATAAGATAGCACAAGAAATGATAATGTAGGATAAGATATATGACAAGGTAGGATAATATATAAGATAAGACAGCCTATGAAGTAATAAGATAAGACAAGATATGATGCGATAAGATGAGTTGATATAAGATAAGCTAAGACAAGATAAGAGATTTCAAGATAAGATAAGATAGAGGGTAATAAAGGTAAGATAAGATAGGACTCGATAAGATAAGATGAGACTCACTCTCACTCAGACTCACTCACAGTCACATTCACTCACACTCACACTCTCTCATGATCACAAAACGCTGCCAGGGGCATCATTTGGGAGCCCCAAGGGGGAGCCACCCTGGCTGATCTCACGAGCCCGTTCGCGCCGATTTTGGTGGGACGTCTCAGCTAGAATTGCCGTTTGGCCTCCCCAACATGTCTCTCTTGAGAGCCTCATGGTCACAAAACGCTGCCAGGGGCATCATTTGGGAGCCCCAAGGGGGAGCCACCCTGGCTGATCTCACGAGCCCGTTCGCGCCGATTTTGGTGGGACGTCTCAGCTAGAATTGCCGTTTGGCCTCCCCAACATGTCTCTCTTGAGAGCCTCATGGTCAC